TTATCTATTATCTTATTTCTCTCCATGCAAAATCTAGATACCATCCAACTTTTTCCTACATTACTCAAACCCAAATCTAAATCAAACAATTTTTACAAGCTTACTCCAGTTTCAAAGAGATAAAATACATTCTACTTCAAAGAAGATATATATATATAGAGAAAAAGAAAGAGAGAAAAGAACCTGTTACCTCAAAGTTTCTCTAAATTTACAATTCCAAAGACCCAACTCTATTGACTCCAACCTCCAACTACTCAAATCATACAAAAAATATCTAAACTAAAAAATACAATTCAAAACAAAATATAATAAACTCCAACTTTCCCAACTCGAGCTTTAAAACACCAACCAACAATTTCATTCGAAAAAAAATCCTATATAAATCCTACAATAAACCTTCTAAACCTTCGCTATTAAACCTTCACTACCGTCATTAAAAGTCTCTACTAAAAAACCAAAAAAAAAAAAAAAAAAAAAAAAAAAAAAAAAAAAAAAAAAACCCGAAATGAAACAAAACCCAAGCCACTTCCACTCGAGGCGAAATAAAACGAGAAGAGAACGAGGGGGGAGGAGGAAGGGAAAAATTGAACAAGGCGAAAGTGCAAGGCGGAACACGTGGCTCGATTTAGCGACGGTCGCAAGGACGCGGCTCGTGGCGCAGTTGCCGGAAAGAAAAAGCGTATATACCTCGCGCAATTTAATCGGGGAGATCAGGTAGATCAGCTGGCGGAGGCAGGGAGTCTGGGGTGGATGTTGGGTTGGTCGGTCGCCGTGCGGATATCGACCCCGGGTTCACCGACCTTTCTCTCACCGCCACCACCACCACCGACCCCTCCACCTGAGCCTTCCTCCATCCCCCGTCGGCCACCCCTCCCCCCACCCTCCACCAGGCCTATCCACCAGCCTTCTTCTTTCGTTCTCTCTCTCTCTCTCTCTCTCTGCTACCACCCTGGCCCGCCAGCAGCTCTCAACCCTGCCAGATGTCCTCAACTCCTCCTCCGGCACCCTTCATCGATCCACCTTGCGATGGCCGCTTCATTGAGGCTCCTCTTCGCGAATTTTTCTTTTCCTTTTTCTCTTTCTTTTCTCGAGAGGGAGAAGAAAGAAAGAAGGTTGGAGGGAAGAACGTATTGAATGATTGGGAAGGATGAATTCGTTTTTTTTGATTTATAGGAATCTTATTGGAAATTGAGCACGTGTGTGAGATTTTTGGGATAATTTTAAACGATACGGAGGAAATAAATGTGTTTTAGCTATTGTGAAATATTGTGAGATTCTTACTGTACAATAATTTTTTTCTTTTTTTAATCTACGCAAACTTTCTAAATCTTCGAGATAGGATTCGAAGATTAAGAAACACTGTGAAGATTAAAATTTAAGATTGAAATTAGAGCTGTGTTGAAACAGCATTTAATTGAAATTCCTTGTAATCTCTTTGCAAGAAAATGCAAAGGTATTCGATTAGTTTCCTATAATATATATAATGATCTCCTATTTCACAGAATGATACTGCTGCTCGTTTCAACGGTTGAAACTTCGAATATTTAACAATCGTTTTACATTTACAAAAAAAAAAAAACCAATCTTAATTTTCACAACTAAATTTCACTCGTTTAATCATCAAGCATTTCAAACGTACCATCCATTCGCGTTAAACAATTTTTCTAAACCCGATAATGCGAAATACACAAACTCTCGTCAGATCCCATATTTCAAATCTCTCTCAATTAATCCAACCTACCGAACAAAATGCATCGAACGAGTCCGGTTGGCGAATTTCAACATTCCTCCACAATCGGGCAACAGAACAGTTTTGAAACGCACAATTAGACATCGTACCTTGTGCATTATTCCCATTTCCTAGCCTTTCCAACCTGGCGGTCCCAACCTCGTTTTATTAACGAAAGCGTTCGGCGGAGAGAAAGGATTAATGGACTCGATCCAGGGAATATGTTTCGCTATCTATCGAAAACAGACCGCTGCACGGTTTCCCAACGCCTGTGCAACGCTCGAAAATCGAGCGGATCGCCGAGGAACACGATGGGAACTCGCCATTAGGCGAATGATAGAGCCAGAGTGGTTACACCAGAGTTTCGAGATCGATTGAAACGAATTCTGATATCGAGATAATAAGAATGAGATTTGTTTAGAATTGGAACGAGAATTTTGTCTGTTTTGGACAAATTTTGAAGGTATTTTTTGTACATTGAGCTGAGGTTATGGAAAATAGTTTGGTATATTAAGTTATTTTAAAGTATTGTTAAATGTATTAAAAGTGAATGGATTGTTTATTTGAAAGATGGAAATGGACTTGGAAGATGATGTAAATGAAGTTTTAAAATTGGAACGAGTTATTTCTTATTATATTTGTTTTCGTGGAAAATTCAATTTTGATATTTTTGTGTATTGAATAAAAATGTGTTTATATAGATTGAATGAATAAACATTGAAAGAAATTTGTGAATTATTTATAAAAATTGTTTTTACTGAAGTAGCAGGAAAGTAGTTTTCTCTACTATGCTTTCTAAATTCTGATAGAAGATGAAAAGTTTTGAAATATAAAAATAAAAATTTCAAAGTTCAATTTTTATCTCCTAATTCAATGAAATAATTCAAAATTCCACAAAACAAAGATTAAAAAGAAATACAATATACTAAATTTATATTCCATTCAATGCAACCAAAATTAATCAAACCAAATAATGATTCTAATTCGACCAAACAATCCATTGAATTTTAAATCTCAGAAAAATAAAAAAAAAATTCAATTAAAAATACACTCTTGTGTAACGAAATATGTATATTTCATTATATTCACGATCCAACCACTACTTTCTAATTCAACTGGAAATTCCTATTCAATTGCAAATTCAGCTCCAAACTCTTGGAAACGAAACAAACTTAAAAAGAGATTCGATTAAAAACACAGCCTAAACTTCAATTTCATTACACGACTCAATCAATGATCACTATCTCCTAATTCAAAGCCCAATCGCCAGCTCTATTCAATTTTCAACCCCAGACGGACACGACGAAATGGAAAACAAATTCGGCTAAAAGAAACCCATCCATTCAATCCCATTACGCAACTCAAACAAACAAACAAACAACCCCTCCGTCCGCTTAATTCAACTCCTATCCACAAACTTTCCCTTTAATTTCAAACGGCAAACGACATAATACGGCTAAACGAAAATCCTCCCCCTCGCGAAATAACCCGCTTCAATTTCATTACGCAACCCCTTCCCTATCCGAAAACAATCCCTCATTTGGCGCGAGAGAAGAAACGGGGAACAGCTCTCGATAATCAACGGGCAGAAAATTGGCAAGGGCCCTAAATGGGTCAGTTTATGACGAGTTTTCACGATTGTTCCGTCGACTGTTCAAGGGCCATTCGCTCTCAAATGGTAATATGATGCATGATCGATCTATAAAAAAAAAGAAAAAATGAAATTATTACGAGAGCTTTTTGTCTTTCATCCCTGATAATTTTGCATTATGTTTTAACATTGATTCAATGTTTCCTTCCAATCTTTCTTGAGATATTATTTCCTTTTATAAAGAAAAAAAAAACTGAGCAACTAATATTCTAATTCTTATTCATAATTATATAAAAGTTATATTTTTAACTTTGGGGTGAAATTAATATCGAATTTAATTAATTAACAATGTTTTAAAAAAGGCGAATTTCAATCGTGAAAAGTTGTAAAAGTATTGCTTATTATAGAATTTTGATCGATAAAATGGAACTTTGAAAAATGATTTAAACTATGAAAAAATGTTGCTCAAGAATATTGCAAAAGCAATGATAGAAGAAAATAAACGATTTCTCTATTATTGCTCCGATATATTAACGAATTATCATTAGAAAGCTCTTGAATGGAGATTTTTAAAAATGAATTATTTTATATTTTATTCGTAAAATTACAAGGCAACGAATATCAGAATGTAAAAGCGACTTAAATTTATGTCTTTTCTTGTTAAAAATGCTAACCTTTACCAATATTTCCACGCACAGTGAACATCGAAAACATTCGATATCGATTGGGAAATTTGCGTGACCATACGCAAGGTAAGAAATCCCATGTATCTTGCCACTGATCTTTTATCTCGACATTATTAATACGAACGATTTCGTATGAAATAACGGTTTTGCCAGTTATCACGTTGTAGATATATAAGAACATTTATTTGACGCATGCACTTAATAACAGAAAAACGATCGGGAAAATAAGAAACGAGAACTGCATAAGAAAAAACGAGAGTTCCACGGACTGACGACGAAAGGTAATTAAAATACAGAGTCGATATCGCGGGTAATATTATCGAGCGCATGTAAATTGAAATACGATATCAGTTAACGATACTGTCTGCAACGCCATATGCATTCTCATTACTGCTATATTAAACTTGATTCAATTATACGATACATATACCGATTGCGCAACTGATCAATGACCGATGCTTGAAAATTAACGATAAGACAATTTTTATTTCCGAATGTAAACGAATATTGTTGAATGTTAGGAAGATATAACGTTAAAATTAAAAATTACATTGGAAATGTAAGTGCGAGTAATCAGACCATAAAAATTAACGAGAGTCTAATAATAATGAGTTGAAGAACCGTACTTCGTAAGAACTCGAAGTGTAAATTATGTTAACGTGAAATATTTAAAAGAAATAATTTGAAACGTAACTAATCGAAACCTAAAATTAACGACAATCTAACTTTTCAAATGAAATGTTTGGAAAAAATAATTGAAAACGTGACTCGAAATATTAAAAATTAATAAGAGGTTAATTTCGATTTAAAACGAATACAAAGTACACGAACTACGACGTATATCGAAAGTGAATAGACATAAATCATTTTTATTTGTAATATAAAGTTATAAAATTTAATATAATGTAATGTATAATGCAATATAAGAAAATATGCAATTAAAATATTAATATAATATGTAAAAATATAATAAATTAAATGATATAAAACTTACTTTTACGTAGGAAACGAAGCGACGCAATAATCGATATAAACAGAACGACTTGCTACGCACAACTGCCGGAATTCAGCTTTCTCCCACTCCTCGCTTATTATACTTCGAATGTTTACACACATTTTCCGAATGACTTTAATATGAAATCTATTTTAGGTTTCTATTTAATAATTATTTATTTTTAAAAATGTAAATTCTTTTCGATACGTCGAATATTTGATTTTTATAATTATTATTTTATAACAAAACTAATGAAAAATTTTTTTATATAGGTTAGTTTAGATTTTTTCACTAATCTACTTCTTTTAATCTATTTGTATAACATTAAACTATTAATAACAAAAATTTATCATCTATAATTCGCAATTAAAATATTAATACGATAATTAATCGATAATTGAATGTAAAAGAAAGAAAGAAAAATTTTTAAACACTTTTCTTACTCGCTCATGTACGGGAACATGATCGAACATATATCATAACAAACACTAACATTCACATTATCACGATTCATTCATACTATATGACTTCAGCTTCTCGCATTTTCTTGAATCACTTTTCGATCTGTTAACACGACTAAGAAATGAATCGCTCGAGGTGGTAACGCTATCCGATGCACCCTACATATTAACATGTAAATATATGTAAATACAGAAGGTGGGCGCGTCTCAAAAGAGAACAGGATTGCCAACTCCACTTGCTTGGCTGCCATGTTACGTAATTGTTCGTTGCACCGTAGCATTGCTTTCAAGTATGAGAAATGTCGAGATGTTTCGTAGTTTTATAATCTATAATGAATCGCGAATTTCGATTCCTCAACAACGAAAATCGACAATGCTATGCAATCTTCCAATGGCACGAAACTATCTTGTATCGATTTCGTGTCATCGTGAGATTGTGTAATCGATTGCATAAAGTTAGGTTAGATTATATGAAAAAATATTCGTTTATAATCGAGAACTGATCAAAAGAAAAGAATTGACGGAAAAAAATTGTAGTGTTATTTGAAAGCATGATTGCAATATGTAATCTTCTATAACTGAGGAAGATAAGTTAACTAATGAATTGTTAATATGTATATAATAATCTTGTTGATATAATAAATTGTTTATTTAAGAATTTCCTATTTAAAATGCAAAATCTCCTGTTCATCATTGTATTTATATTTTTATTCAGTATTTATATTTATTCAGAATACATTATGTCGTATTTACATTTATCTAACAATAAATTTCAATTTTTGTGATAAATTTTTGGTTGAGAAATGACCCTATTAATAAAATAACTTTAAAATATGAAGATTTTGTAAAAATTAATCTTCTTTAGACAAAATTAGAGAATTATACAAGAAAATATATTTTCGTTAAATCTTTTAAACGTAGCAAACGTGACTATAACCTAAAAAGGACAACTAAAATCATGACAAACGTAATGAATTTATCTTAACCAGTTGACACGTTGAAATTGTGAAAAATGATATGAGATTAATTTACATTTATGTCTACATAAAAAGAAAAATCACTGGCACAACACAAATTATAACAAAATTACAAATAATCCACGTAATATGAACAAACACGTTCTTCTTAATCAACAGGTTAACTTTACAAAGAATGACGCATCGAAGCGAGGGCGTTTAAGTCGCTTTTCAATTCAAAATTCTTGTTTCTAAAATTATTTTTTAATTTCTTTTTAAAAAGTGTGAATATTATAATTTTTACTATTATAATACTGTATTATATAAATTATGATTTATAATTACAGACTGAATAATATAACATATATTCATACATATATGATAATTTTTACACAATCGAAATAAATTTAAAGAAATATTAATATTAATTTTTATTTATAATATATTTATGCAATTAAAAGAATCGTCAATATAGTTATAAACATAACATACATTATATAAATTATTCATGTACATCGACCCATTTACAATTATTCTTCAACATTACAGTGGATCACATTGTACACATATTTTCTAATCAGATTGATAACTAAAAACGTGGAAATACAGGTTTACGACACATGCAACGTCATTATACACATTCCATCCTAATTCATCAAAGATCTGAAAGAAATTTCCATTTATATCTTGATAATTAATCTAAATAAAATATCCAACGCTGTAAAAAGTTATTTTTTTTTTTCTCTCTCAATTAACCATACCAATATAACGTACCATATATTTTTTATAAGATTCAAGTTCAGAGCTACAATTTATGAAAATGTCACAGAACATTTTTTTACCGTCTAGACTTCAGCATTGAGAATATCCAAAGAGAACATTACTTTAATTTAAAAATAGAATAATTATACGTTTTACTCTAATTACTCTATCAGAAAAAAAACTTAATTTTTAGTTGGGAAAAACACTTGAACTCAATCGAAGTACTTCGTTTCTAAATATTCTCACTTATCGATTCCTTCTACATTTTTCACGAAACAAAAATTGAAACTTCAATTCTACAAAGCTATCAAATACGGAAATAAGGAAACAAAAAAAAAAAAATAGAAGAAGACCCATTAAAAATTGAATATAAAATAAATATCTCGACTTATAAGATTAATTCAAATAAGACAAAACATTACACGATTTTTAAACAGAATCAAAAAGATTTTAATTTACGAAGAAAACTCGAATCGTGTCATATTTTCTAAAGTATCTATCAATTCGCTCGAGGATCAAAGATTCAAAAATCGATTCTGATTCTGAATCTGCGTGGAACACTACTAGCAATACGATAATTTACCAAAAAACAGCACTGGATGACCGCAACAATGTGGTTAACCCAGTAAAAAAAAAAAAAAGAAAAAAGGGGAAAAAAGTTAGCCGAAATAGCGGCCGCGGTCGTCTCTTTGAGAGTACAACAACCGGCGCACCCTCGAGGAACTACCACTCCCACGGTCTCTGATTATCATTTAACCCGTTTCAATATGTCGGTATTTCTGCCTCTTAACGTGCCTGGAATTCTTGGAAAGTTGCTGCCGGTGAACGTCAATCTTCGTAATCGAGTTTCTCCGTAGTTGTCGCAGGATCGATGATCGACGTCGCTAAGAAAAGAACGGAACAATTGTTGTTTTTGTACATCTTTTCAATTAAAATATCTTAAAGAAAACGTGTTTCATCAATCGTGTATTACAATCTTTCTTAAAAAATATATATAAATCTATAAAAAGAGAGACAGTTCGTACTTGTCCAAATTCCTTCGTTCCAAATTTAACCTTTTCCCCCGTGGGAATTAATTAATCAATTAAACTTCATGAAACAACAACAAAAACTTGGAAAAATCTAGCATCTCTCCTCGAGATGCTGCATCAACGTTCAACGCCCCCCACCCCAACTCCCCCTAACCCGACACGATTTTGCAGACGTCGGTCCAGCACTGACCTACGGTTTTTCCAGAGACGCCAGACGGGGATGCGCCCCTCCTCCTCCTCCTCCTCCTCCTCCTCCTCCCACCAGACGGATGCAGACGCGGTTGCCGCAACCGTGGAAAGAAGAAAAGAGAGCAGAGAGTTTATATAGCAGAGGACGGGGCGGAGGAGTCGGGAAAACGCTATAGACGTCGGGACGCTATCCGGTCGATACAGGGAACCGGCAGACTAGGAAGTAAACCCGGGCATCAACCTCTCTCTCTCTCTCTCTCTCTCTCCCTCTCTCTGCCTGCTACCGCCACCCTTCCTTCCCCCTCCTCCTCCTCCCCCGCAACAACCTCCGCGGCGGGAGGAACCCCCCTCGATCTCTCGAATTCGCTCTCGTCGTCGCTGCTCGACCGCGGGTGCAACGACCTCGCCCCGCCAGAAATTTGGATCTGGAGCGAGGCGGCTGCGAGGCCGGCCGCAACCTGTGCCGTGCATTTCGTAATTATCGACGCCGCCGGGGTCGGGGTTCGCGGGGGAGGGGGCGCGAAAGGGGTGGAGCCACCGTTTCCCGGACCTGTCTCTTTCGCGTACATCTTTCGCGATATTAAACAAGTGGTGTATTGACTTTGCTGTTCAGGTGTCCGTGACTTCTCTGTCGCAGCCCCTTCGAGAAGGGGCGAGGAAAGGGAGTTGAGGATCGTGGAATCCTATTAATTTTGGACATTATCGTATCGAGACGAAGATAAAGAAGATTTTATCGATTTTATAAAAAAGGAATCCATTTTTATAGGAAATTTCGTCTCCTTAGAAATAATATCCTCTGATATGGAAATTCAAAAGAGATATAGAAAAAGAGAAAGAGAGAGCTTCCTTAATAGTCAAGAATAATTTGGGGCGAGAAATGTCGCATCAAAAGTTCCACCGAAAGCTTCTTCCTCGCTGAAGGAGGATTACAGAAGGAGGGAGCCTTATATATATATATTCTTTCTCCGTGTATAGCTTGAGAAACGGGTCAAACTGTTCCCGGCTTCGTGTTCGATAGTGGACTTTCGATCTTTCGATGAAGTAACACGCCTCGGTTGAATTATTGCAAATGCAAGAGCAAGGCTGTGTCCTTTTGCCACCATCCACGGCCGGTCCACGATTGGTGGACAAATTTCGGCCGAGGGAGTTGGTCGGATATTGACAAGTTTCGCTCCAAGTTGCCGCGAGAGCTGATCGTAGGAAGGAGGGGGGAAGAAGGAGAGGAGGATAGGAGAAGTTTCTTGCACGGAGAAGATCTGACTTGGTTCGATGTTTGCCGGGTTAATTGCAATGCAATGCGAAAATGTTCTATAGATATTGTCTTTGCGGGAAATGCAAATTTTGCTTTTAGGGTAGCACGAGATGCTTATGATAATAAGTGTATAATTGATGTAGGAAGATATTATATGTCGAGATTAATAATCGTACGATAACTATCGTATGAATTGTGTGAAAAAGGATTTACGTTTACAACTTGAATTCTCTCGAATCTCTCGAGAAAATATTTTTAGAGTCAGGATTTTTTGCCGTCACGGGAGAGGGCATTAGATCGAATGAACGAGTTACTGACCTTAAATAACATATCGTGCGGTTTTTATTTATGCACAACCGAGTTCATGCGCCAAGCAAAATTTAATGCGATACGACAGTATGGCGAAGAACGAAGAAAGGATCTGTGCCAAGGTAATCGAAATGGAATGCCACCCGTCTGATCCTTTTCTTTTTTTTCCACCTATTTCTTTCCTGCCCCCCCCTCGTTTCGAAGCGACACGTATGAATTCGTTGGAAAGTTTTTCACGTAAACACGTCCCTCTCCTCCTTCCCCCAAAAAATATTTACAATCTATTTAATCAATCTAGCTATCGAGGAAAATTATATATCCGTGATCGAAGAAGCAATGCCACTCTTCCTTCGATCAAAATCTTCGAAAGATTCGCCCCCTCTCCCACCAACAGAACACTGAAAATAGCGGAAACGTGCTCGATCGATTTCGTGTCTCGCCACGAAAGTGGTAGACAGGAGGCACGGATCAAGCGAGCAATTATCTCTGGCAGAGACGTATCCGCGAGGCGAGACGCGACAAAGGTCGCCGCTGGCAGCAAACGTTTCACAGCCTCCTGACATTTCCAGCTTTGGAAAGTCTGGGAATTCGCGGGTCGAGTACGCGCACTGTGGCCAATTCAACCGAATCGAAAGGGATCGACCTAGTAAAGTGTACGGGTATCCGGATTTGAAAAATCTTGCGTGGATTGCAGGTGTAAATTATCGACAATTATTATTGGAGAAGAAGGAATGAAAATTGGATAAAAATAACGAGACTATAATAGCCGAAAAAAATAGTTATTATATCCTCGATTTCGACAAATTTACGATGATAAAAATATTCCACAAGCGAATACGAATATAATAAAAATTTGAAATCTCTCGACGAAAAGAAGAAAAGGAACGTAAATAAATATTTACAACTACGTAATATATTCTCGTTCCTGTACTTTCTCAAAAATCACAATTAAACCATTCAATATTCTCTCTAATTAAATATTCAAAACTATATAAGAGAGAGAAAAGAAAAATTCAATTCGCGATACGGTTAATACCGGTAGGCGTTTCAAAACGCTTAATCTGACATCGATGATCGAGAAATTAATTAATAAGCAGAGCAAAATAGCATAGATTTCATCCACTTTTCTTTTTCGATCCACTTTTTTTTTTTTTTTTTCCCTACAACCAGTGAGTAAGAGAGAAACCAGTCGCGAAGGCAAATCTCATGGAGGGAGGAGGGAGAGAGAGAAATCGTTTATCTGGTCAAAAATATCTAGCACGTCTCCATCGCGGTAAGCTAATCGCTCTTCTGACGCGCGGCAGCGCCATTAAACCAACACGTACCCGTACATGTCGCGCGGATTTTTGCTGGCACAAATTTCCCCGATGCTCGTGTAATCAGCAAAAGCTGGAGAACATCTCTTTCTCTTTCACACGTGCCCCTCTGTATACATTATATGCTAGCCGCCGCGTGTATCTTTTTTTTTTCTTTTTTTTTTTTTTATTCACATAAATTTCACGCTGTCTGAGCGATTCGAGCGCGATAGGAGCGCGTTGCTCGAGCCGGCACTTGCAACCTATAATTTACAGGTTAGTCGGAAGAAAGGGGGAAAAAATCAAGGGGATCGGATCTTAATCGATTTACGGGGTTATATTCTCTTCTTATTAAAATATCACTCGACTAATTTACCCTCGATACGTTGGAATATTTTCTTTTTTTCTCTCGGTTCCTTTCTTCGATTTATCTCATCGATCCTTGATATCGGAAGAACGATTTTAAGCGTCAAATGATTATCGAACGATTATTTTTTTTCCTCTCGGTTCCTTTCTTCGATTTATTTCATCTATTCTTGATATCGGAAGAACGATTTTAAGCGTCAAATGATTATCGAACGATGAATGGAACGATCAATTTTCGTTTAATTCGATTCGATGAAAATATAATGTTTCGTGTCTTTAATCGGTGTAGTCGGAGGAATTATCGATTAATATTAGTTGAAAAAAAATTAAACAAATCTTCTTGTTATTACTTATTATCAATTTTCGAACGTATATTTCTCTTTTCCTCTCGAATCGAACAAATCGTTTCTACGATCGACACGATCGTTTAATCACGATGCAATTCCACGTTTCAATCCACGAGTCATCGATCGATGGAACACGCGTGTTGCACCTTGGATCCCGATATAGTATAATGATAGGGAGCGTCCATTATGGAAATGCTTGATTTTATATTTCAAGCATTGTCGTTTCTTCCTTTTTTTTTTTTTTTTTAATTATACGTTCTAATAACGTTTGAAAACGAAGATGAAATTTGCGTAAACTCGAGTAACTTCGATTTAATTTCGTAAAAAAATTTATTGGACGATTAAAGTGTCGAGTGTCGAATAACAGTAATCGATACAGTTCGAGTGTAACAAATTTCAATTTGTTACGTTCTTGTTAATATCGTATCGTGTTAATATAAACTCACTGATGAAAAGGGAAAGAAGAAAAAGATCCCTGGATAAGTTGAAAAGGAAAATACGTCGACCGATGATTTTCAACGCGAGCTGACAATATCCTATTCGTTCCTACACTTTACACTACGGTCGTTCCACTCGCAGCTGTGCAAACACATCGTTCACCCCTCGACGAGTACTTTGCAAAAATTTTTTTTTCTCCCCGACGGAAGAGTTTCGTCATTTTACGAAAGTATTCAACTCCGACGAGGGATATAATAATAATTATCTCGAATAAACTCAATCAACCCCCTCCTCCGCTCGTACAACAATCCTCTCTGGATCAATACCGCACGAGGATCTCCGCCACAATATCTCGAAACGTCGTCTCGAAGCAGCCAAGTCGAAAATCGTTATCGAAAAGATGCAGCGCTGCCAATTCATCGCGATTAGATACATGAAAGGTGGTTATGTATCGGCGGTTTTGTATCGCGTGTTACGTTTCACCGCAAATAGTGGAGGAGAAGTTCGACCCCCTCCGTATCTCTCTCTCTCTCTCTCCCTCTCTCTGTGTGCGTGCGTGCGTGCGTATGTCCGTCCCGCGAATGGAAAAGGCCGCGAATAAAATTCCGACCGCGAAGAAAAGTGGGACGCGCGTGTGCCGGCCGCAGAAACTGCACATTTGCATCTCTGAATAACCATACGTCACCAGCCGCGAGTAATAATCGCCCGACTCGTGAGATTTCACCCGATCCCGCGTGCGAGAATCTTTAAACCTCTCTCTATTTCTCGAATAGATTATTCGGGATAAGAGATAATATCTTTGGCAAAGTGGAAGAAGAAATGGAAGAAGAAGAGGTTAATTATTTGATCTGATGTAAATGCGTTTGTTTATATGCGTATTCAATTAACCTGGAATCGGGGAGGGAATGAAATAATTATCGAGATAATTAAAGGATTTGTTGTTGTTGTTGTTTTTATAAGGTTTATATTTAAGTTTATTATATATCGTTGAAGGGGATTAGACTTTAGTTCTTGTCGAAGAAACTCTCTTAGGAGGAATAAAGATAGCGGATCTCGGTGTATTGATTTATGAATTTATTGACCGTGTATAAAATTCTAAATCTATGAAACAATAAACCCCACTTTCTCCACCTCGACTGAGAACCTCGACTCTCCGATTTAAATCATACGTCCCGACTTTCTCCTGCATAACAATCTCTGCAATCTGTAAACAATCTAATTACACTTGTCTATAAATATTTACATCTCTCTCTCCTTCTAGTTTCACTCATATGAAATAATGCGAAATAAATGGAAGATAGGAGGAACGAAAACGCTCAAATTACGTAATTTCCATTCGATTCATTGTCTCCCTCCCCCCCCCCCAAAAAATTTCTATCGACGCGGTTAAATTTAACGAACCGAGTCCAATTTCGTTCGCCCTCTTTCACTTCCCTTTCTTTTTTCTCTCTTTTCTTTCGAATTCTTTCGAGTTCGAGTCACCGGGAAAAAAAGAAAGAAAAAAGGATCTCCTCGACTCGAGCTTTCACTCGATCGCCGTTCGCCGAGGAAAGCCGCTATTCCGCGAGCGTTATCGCGCGTGAGACGGGCGTGAGAGGCGGCGGAATGACATAAAGGGGCGCCGTGTGGGTGTAGACGATTCTATCTAAGTCCGAGGGCAATGCACCGAGACTGCGTGCATGCACGGGAGACTCGAGTCGCTTTAGCTACTCCCCCCTCCAACAGAATCCAAATTCACCTGCGCTTCCAATGCGATATTTCGACGAGATGATTTTTTTCGAATTCGTAAAAATGGATCATGAATCGTGAGAAAGAATCATTCCCATTTGTTTCCAATTAATGTTTCCAATAAAATTTGGAAAATTGCTCGTTTTATCCAAAATATTTATTTATAATATGAAAAGAATCAGTTTCTCCATTCCGTGTGAGAAGAATTTCGAGGGATGCGTTCGAGGAGAAGAGGCGCGTTAAAGGAGAAAGTGACAGCCGAGTCGGACACCGAGTCGGCCGAAGGAATCAGCTGTCACGCGTGTCACTCTTCGACTTCGTTCTCGAAAAAAATCGAGAGAAAAACCTTTTTCTCTCTCCCACGATTTCGACCATCTAACGACGTTGCATTATGGAACGGAAATATTTCGAGCGTTTGTTAAAAATTGTTTTTACTCGCTACCGTTTCACGAATATCTTAAATTAAATCGATAGAGAAATTTTTCCATTTCTACTCGTTACGAACATCGAAACTTTTAAGATAAAAACCTGCTTTCCCGATATCTCTTCTTCTCGTAGGAAGAGGAAGGGAAAAAATATGAAAAATCGTAAAAGAGAGGGGGAAGGGTTCGAAAGAAGGCCCGCCGATATTAATTTTGTCGATCTTAATTGACCCGGATGCGCCCCTGCTCGAGTCATCGGCTGCATTGGTCGGTGGTCGCGTTACACGGGCCACCGACATCGATCATCCGTGGCAGTGACATATGTTTCGTGCAGCTTTCCGCCTTGGATCGATGTAATTGGGAACGACTTCCGTGTCATAGATACACGTTGCCTAAATACTTTCATAACAACCGAGATCGAGTATTACTCGAGATTTAACGAAAGAGTTATACTTTCTTTTTTCTTCAATTATTATATACAACAAATTTACGATTTTTTTCTTCTTCTTCTTTTTCGTACGAAAATCTATATTCTTCTTGATATTCAATATTTTCAAATTCTTGTTTGGAACAATCAGGAATTGAAGTTAAGGATCGTTTCCTCCAACGGGAGGAAATTACGAGCTGAATCGAGGGAGAGGGGGGATTTTTTCGCGATCCATGAGTTTTATCGGTTTATAACACAATGAACGGTTTATTCGACGTTTCATCCACGGTATGCGGCAAATATCGAAGCGTATACTTATATACAGATAAGAGTTTTGCAGTGAAGTGGTCACAGATTTTTCTATCCTCCGCCACATGATTGCGTCATGATTTACGAACTTTTTCCGGGCAAAGGAATCCGATCGATAAATGGACGATTTGTTTGGTCGTGGTCGATAACACGACGAGTTCTTTCTTCTATTCTCGATACCGATAACCGATAACGACTCGATAACATTTCACAACGGCCATTTGTCCAACTACTATTACTTCCATTTTATTATTAACGATAAACTTAAAGAAATTGTTGAATAGTTTCGACGACGATGGTGTAAAAATATTCGTTCAACGTTTAATAAACGAGATTGATAAATTAAATATTTTCGAAACTTCTCACGATACGTGTTTCAACACAAGGGACAATCCGCTCCACCTGGCACTGCTGAGGGCCTCGTTATCTCCAACATGGCGGCCTGCCACTCGATCGAAATAGGACGCAGCCGCCGATTCCTCCGTTAACGCACAGAGATCCTTGGGATCGAGCACGATAACCTTCCTTCTGCCTATTCCACGTATCCCTCCATACTCGAGACCTCTCCATCCTCCTAGGCTTGGAATTGGCGAGATCTCCTGATTCCCTTCTCCGCGTTTCGAAATATTTGCGGATACCTGGCCACGTTTTGAATACGTGCATCATGGAAGATATTCGATAGAGATCAAATAACAACTCTTTTCTTTTCTTTTTTTTTTTTTTTTTTTTTTTTCAGAGGACTGACTCTTGGAAATGATATATATCATTGGCTGACTGGTTAACTTTGAATTTTCTTGCTTTCTTCAATTTGATTGGAAAGCGTATAAATGTATAATACCTGTATAAAATGTTGAACGATGAGACACTTCAGGTAGAATGACGAAATACACGTAAAATACACGTTCTTACCTGGAACAGAGAGGAGAATGATGAAATTAGAAAGATACGAAAAATGTAACGGCCAATTGGAATCGAAGGATTACGATATCGTTATCATCTTAAGAAAAAAAAGAAATCTATCCCATTTACTTTACGACAGGTCGAATCGATCTTGGCCCCAAAACTCTGCGCAAACTCCCTGCGAAAACGATCCTAACCACACAAAAGACCACCTTTAAATCATCGCTTCTACAAAACGACGATGATGATGATGATGATGACGATCCATTCCATCACCACAGACCGCAAAATCTACTCATTAGGATCATTTCATCGGCTGCAGGTAGGCCTATGATTGCGAAAGGGGAGGAGGGAAAATGCGTAGATGGGTAGACGCAAAATAGAAGAGGAGAAGAAGAACGAAAGAAAAGATAGAGAGAGGATCTTCTGCAAGCCACAGCTCGTGGCTTCTTCTTCGTAGATTCTTAAAACGAACAATTAATACGAACAACAATTAATAATTGTACAACCAATTGTACAACAATAAAGTGCAAATAAATATCATTTTCCCCCGTAAATATATTATTATATTTATACATGTAAATTTCGCTTGAGGGATCGCTTGACGTTATCTCAAATTTAAATAAAAAAAAATAATAATTTTCCTCCGCGCCAGAAAGAGAGTATCTCGGGTGGAAGAGGAGTGGTTGGCCACCCCTGGCCTGGATACCGCGGCGTGTTGTTCACCTCCGTGTGAAAGTACTCGGAGGCACACCATCTCCTCCTTCCTTCTCCTCTTCTCTCTCTCTCTCTCTCTCTCTC